AGTAGTTCCTATTTTTTTTTCTTTTTTTTTTCTTTTTTATTAACTTTGATCTTTTCTTTTTTAAGTTCTGCTTTACCGGATCTTAATTGTGATTCATAGCTAAGTATAGAGTTTTATTTTATTTTGTTTTTTTTCTTTGTTATTATTACTAATTACTTTTTTTTTCTTTAAATCTGATCAAAATTAAATTTACTGTATAACGCGTAATAATGCACATGGTCGTCATTTTAAAAATTTTAATTTTTAAAAATCGCATATTTGACTATACCACATTACTACCAATATACCGTTTGCTACTTCCTACAGTACCCAGGGTCTTATTCAAGAACTCTATTTTTAAAATTGAATAGTACCCACAGATACTGTATGAAGAACCAGGTACTATATTGGGAATATTTTATATTAGAAGCAGTAAATCAATATGGTTGTACTCCCGGGTTTTATTCAAGAAATATGTCAATAGGGGGTATGAATAATACCCGGGTTTTAATCACGGGGGTGTTATTTTTGGGGGATACTGTAGGCAGTGGCAAATGGTATATACCATTACGTTTGGTATAAAAATATAAAAAGAGATATTTTTTACAGGCCATTATCTTTGCTCCTGAATCTTATGAACTTAGGTCTTTAAATCTAAGCAATTTATTTTATATTAAAAGTAAGTTTTAATTTACATATCATACTTTTAATAGATGAATACAAATTTTAACTAAGATTTAATAAATATAACAGAATTTAATATTTAATATTTTTAAAAAATCTAGATGTGTATAATCAAACAAAAATTAAAAAGAAAGATTGTGTGCTATTCCACGAAGAAACTCCATTAATGTACGATTTTTCTGATCATTAATGATAAGGTCAATCCTTTGTTCTCTTTCAACAGTACCTTTTTTAGGTTTTGGCCATTGCTCTCCACGTATAATAGCTTCTACTTGATGCTTAACTTTTTGCTGTTCTCTTTGAAATTCCTCAATGATAGTATAAACACCTACGTGTGATCGACCAACTAAATTTTCCCATCGTCGGTACCATGCCTCGACAATGTTCTGGGTTCGAGGAATACCTGCCTCCATAGAGTCATGTACGAACTACATTTGTGGTGGATAAAGAGGTGATGAATGGCTAACATTGTCATTACACATTTGTCATATTTTTTTTCCGTAGATATAATTGTCTTCAAGCCATTGTACTAATTCCTTGGTTTCTGTAGGCATTTCCTCCTTTAAAACATCAAATGCTGCAGGAATTTCATTCGATGGTAAGAATGCTAATGCGAATAAATGACGCAGCTTGATGCTAAAATCTTCGTCAAGGCCATAACAAGTTAACAATTTATATTCTTGTATTTTTCTCCAGCCGCTTTGTCCTAAGTGAAAGAAGCAACACTTATTGTTAACATTAGGAAACTCACCACATGACATATTGATTGTGGCAAGTTCAAAGTCTGTAAGAATTGTTGTAGGCATTAATGAAATATTATTTTCTTCTGCAAATTCAAGTAAATCTTGAAATAGTGCTCTATATAATGCTTCAGATTTTTTGTCATCAATGCATATACTAGAGGAAGAACTCTTGAGTTATCTCCTGTACTAACAGGAGCATGGATTGTATACAACTGATGAAAAATAGTCAGGACAGTCTTGAAAGTGCTATCCGTCATCCAATATAATGCTTTAGACAAGTGTTGTATATTGGCTTTTGTGGTAAACAAGAGAATTCATTCCTCTTCAATTATAGAATCTCTTACTAAAAACTCTTCCTTACTTAATATCAAACGAAGTGAATCAGGAATATCGATGTCATCGAGTTTTTTGGGTTGCGGAGGCATGTCTGCTTTTCTAATACGTTTGATTCGTACTCGCAAAGCATTGTGCGATGGAACGTAAAGATAGACTTCTGTAGGGACATTAATGATAGTATCTTGGATTATTTGAGCTGGAGGGTCATTGGTCCCTTGAGCTCTGTTTCTCATAATTGCAATATTTTTTGCAACTTCGGCGCTACTGGCTGTTGGTGCATGATTGTGTTCATTAAATTTTTGAAGATAATGCATATTATTTGTAAGTAGTATTACAGCACGACCTCTGCATTCATATAATTTTCTTTTTTCACAGCACCAATAGTACGTATCCTCCTGATTTCGTTCCTTTACTATCAAATAACCACAGACATTAATCTTATCAGCTCCTCTTTGAGAAGGTATAATTTCACAAATTTCTTCCATTTTTTAATAGTATAATAAAATAATTTTAAGTTTTTGCAGAGATAATATTGATTTAAATAATTAAATAAAGTTCAAAAGACGTCAAAGTCTGGGAAATCTTTATTAGTGCGAAAGACAGCATTTTTATACTTTTTGAACAATTAGAATTTTATACTGATAACTTTTTTTTATTTACTGAAAATTATTTTTTTATAGATCATCATTTATACTCCTTTTAGTATAACTTACTCGTTTTAATAATAATTAACTTATTCAAGAAAAATGATATGTATATAAGACATTAAAAACAAAAATAGTAAAAAAAAAAAATTAATAAATAATACAATGTAATATATATTTACTTATTCCTGAGCTTCTCTAAAATATAATCAACTTCAGCTGCTCTAAGTAATCGTGCCTCTTCTACCAATGCTTTAAAATTTTCGTCAGACAATCGTAATAAAGTATTGGCAGTAATATTTTAAACAGTAAGAAGGTTATGAGTACCCCGGGTATGATACAATTGATATACGCGTGAAGCTGCTTTCCATGTATAATGATAAGTACTAATAGAAAAATTAATTCGAATAAACGTTCTAGCAGCTAAACTCCAAAATTGAGCTTCCAACCGTTCTCCCAAAAGATAATAACATTGAAGAAGAGAGACCTGATCAAGACAATTTTGACGCATCTTATCCCTAATATATATGACCTGATCTTCCCAGGTTTCTCCATATACTTCTTCGAGAGACCTGG